GCTTAGACATCGTATTTCAAGCAATTATATGGGAAAATTGGCCTTAGGTGCAGAGATAATTTAAAAATTCTTAGAATACCTGAAAGCCATAATAATTTTTAAAAAAAGAGCCTAGACATCACCTTTCAAGAAATTACTGAGGAAAATTGCCCTGATATTCCAGAAACAGAGGATAAAACAGAAACTGAAAGGATCCACTGATCACCTCCTGAAAGAGATCCCCAAAATTAAAACTCCCAGGAATATAACAGCAAAATTTCAGAGCTCCCAAGTCAAGAAGAAAATATTACCATCAGCCAGAAAGAAACAATTCAAATAGCATGGAGCCATAGTCAGGATCAAACAAAGTTTAACAGCTTCTGTGTTAAAGGAGCAGAGGGCTTAGAATATATATTCTAGAAGGTAAAGGAGCTAGGATTGCGACCAAGAATAACCTACCCAACAAAACAGACTAATCCTTCCATGGGGAAACGTATATTTAATGAAATAGAAGTGTTTCAAGCATTCCTGATGAAAAGACCAGAGCTGAATGAAAAATCTGACATTCAAACACCAGAATCAAGAGAAGCGTACAAAGGTAAATATGAAAGAGTAATCCAAAAGGACCCAATAAAGTTAAACTCTTTATATTCCTATATGGGAATGTGATACGTGTAATTTCTGAGAAATTCATGGTTATGAGGGTAGTTGGAAGGAGTCTACACAGACAGAGGGCATGAGGGTGAGTTGAAGTTAAAAAAAAATGCTGAAACTTATTCTTAGGGAGTTGCCCAAAGCACTGATAAGTTAAGTAATTTACCCAGGGTCACGAAGTTAGCAGGTAATGGAGGCAGGATTTGAATCCAGCTCTAATTCTCTGCCCACTATGTTATATTGCATAACATAAAATTATCATCATTGAGGGAAATATAAACAAAAGAGGCCGGAAACTGAGACTCAGGTACAGTTGACTTCCCCAGTATTCACACAACGGGTACATGTCTGAAGCAAGATTTGCTCAGGTCTTCCTGATTCAAGGTCTAAAACACTATTGACTACAAAATCTTCCCCAATGTGGTGTACACATAGTTGGCACTCAAAAATATTTGATAAATGAATGATAATTTTTTTACATTTAATTTTTTGTTTTATTTTTCTGAATTACATGTAACAAAAAATTTGATTCTTTTTTAAAAAGTTTTAGTTCCATATTCTTTCCCTCCCTTCATTACCCCTCCTTGAAAAGGCAAGCAATTTGATACCGATCAGATATATGCAGTCATGCAAAATGATGAATGATAAATGTTAAACAGATGTATCATTTGTTAAGTGATGAACTCATTTAACAAATGAACTGCCTTCAGAATAACAGCATGGTTCACTGGAAGGAGGCTTGTTTCAGATCTGACCTGGGGCTTCTGTGGGCCTTTCCAACTCTCAGACTATTCTGAAGGGACTGCCTTCAGAAGCCACTCAAGAAAAGGAATTTAGGACTTTATAGCCCCTCCTGTGAAAAGTTACTTTTATACAGAATTGGAGGCTAGGGCTTCTTTGTGGGGGCATATGTTTGCCTTTGTGCTTGTCCTCAGGATTTCTGCTAGAAATTCAAAGGCTGATTCCACCAACGTTCATCCATTCCTCCAACAGAGGCAGTGTGGTGGAACACCAGGTTGATCATGCCGCTAACCTGTGTGACTCTGGGCAGATGCCTTTCTCTCTGTGGTCCTGGATTTCTTCTCCCACAAAATGAAGGGCTGGAGTAGGATCTTATACTTGGCAGGTGCTGGACAGATCATACTCATTAGTTAGGCCCATCTCCTTTGGGGTCACGTCAGCCCTCACTTTGGAGACCCCCTGCTCTGGGGAGCGTTTTGAGGGCTCTAGGAGTTAGGATCATAGATTGTGAGCTGGGAAAGATGTCGTCCAAAGCCCAGTCTTGCAGAAGCCAGTTAGTCACTGAGCTAGAAGGTAGCTGAAGTAGGATTCTAAGTCTGAGGCTTAGCACATAGTAGGTGCTTCATACATTCTTACCGACTGTGACTCAGGGTGAGGTCCTTTCATTCTGAATCCAGCCTTCTCTCACCCCATCTTCTCCATCAAGGCCCCTTCACACCACACTCTTCCCCTACCTCCTGCATCTCAGGCCTCTCAGTTTCTGTTTGTTCCTCATCCCCTCAGTATGATGAGCCCAAATTCTCCAAAGCTGTTCCAGTGGACCGCAATTTCTGGGAAATCCCAGGGTCAAATACCTTGTGGGAAGAGCAATGGAGTATTGGAGGATCTGAGTTCAAATCCTGATTCTGCTCCTTGCAATCAGGATGGCCTTAGACAGGTGATCTGAGCCTCAGTTTCCTCACCTGTAAAAAGGAAACATCACCAAGGTCCTTTATAGCTCTAAATCCTATAATTCTAATTACTGGAAATGCTTCAAATAATGAGGCCCAGAGAAGGACTGAGTCTCCACTGGCAAAACAGCTAAGCTATATTCAAAGAGGTTCGCCACCAGATATTCGGCCACAGCCACCCAGGAAGACTGTCTCCCAAGGCAGAAGTTGGGGTCTTCAAGTCTCCAAGGCTGAGGGATCACTCATCAGGGGCTTCACAGAACAGATCTGTCATCAGGTACTGGTGGGGTTCAGAGATTCATATGATAATAGTAACAACAACAACTAACATTTATATAGTACCTACTATGTGCACTGAGTAAGCACTTTACAATTATTAACTCATCTGATCCTCATAAGAGCTCTGGGAGGTAGGGGCTATTAGGATCTCCATTTTACAGATGAGGAAATTGAGGCAAATGGAGCTTAAGTGACTTGCGCAGGGTCACACAGCTAGTAAGTGTCTGAAGGTGGATTTGAACTCCGGTCTTCCAAACTCCAACTCTAATGCTCTACCCACTGTGCCAATGAGCAGCCACTAACTTTCTTACTGGCCTCATAGGGCAATGTACACAGTCTTTCTCAAAGACTGCTTACTTCCCTACAATCAATCAGTCAATCAACATTTATTAAGTGCCTACTATGTGCCAGGCACTGCGCTAAGTGCTGGGGACACAAAAAAAAAAGACAAAAGATAGTGGCTGCCCTCAAAGAGCTTATGATTTTCTTTGAGGAAGCACTAATTATTAACTATTATTATTATTAATTATTAACATTAGTTAATAAGCTAGATGCACTGGACTTAAGAGTAATGAAGACCTGAGTTCAAATTCTACTTTATTAGGAGAACAGTTACTGGCTCAGTAATTCTGCGTAAGTCCCTTCATCTCTCTCCCTTTTAAGATCGATGGCCTCTACACTGCTCCAAAGCGCTGGTTCTTTGACCTACGTGGCCTGGAGCAAGTCACAGAACCACCCTCGGCCTTGGCTTCCTTTTCTATAAAGTGAGGGGGTTGGACTGGGCCTCGGAGGGCCCTGCCAGATCTAGAGCTATGATCCTAAGTCACTTTATCTCTCTTGGTCTCAATTTCTTCAATGGCAAAATGACGGCCAGATGGCCTTTCCTAGAACCACGAGCAGGATAAGCCCTTGGAGGACAGCATTGTTTCTGCGCTACTTCCCTGCCTTTGGGCTCTGCTAATATTAATTCAGTACAAAACAACCTGAGCTCCTGTGTTTGGTAATTAGCAGCTCAGTTTGGCAGAGGGAGAGAAGCTAGCCTCCCTTGCTCTAACTCCTAATGTGCAGTTAATTAGAGGCCCTGGCAGCAGGCAGCCCCGCCAGCTTCTGTGTGCCTTCCCCTACAAGGAAGCGTGTCTGCTTCCCTGCAGAAAGGCCCAGTGAAACAAGCAGCAGGCTGTCCCACAGGCCAACGGGTAAGGACTTTAACTTTGTAAAAGCAGCCCCTCAGAAGTGGGGAGATTCCCCTTCCACATCCACCTTGCAGCATTTATTTTAGACCATCGCAGAGGCACTTCTGCCATTACCCAAGGGCGTGGCATCCCCTCTATGGGCACCAAAAGGTCCCAGGAAAATGGAGTATCGAGAGCAATCATGACACTTCCTTCTCCTCCAATAAAATGTAAGCCCCCAGAGGGCAGGCTTTGTCTTGTCTTTGTATCTGCAGGGTTGAATGCCTGGTACACAGTGGGTGCCTAATAAATGTTTACTGATGGCCTGATTGGGGGGAAAAATCACCCTATGAAGTGGGTTAAACACCACAGCATACTGGATAGAGGGCTGAACTTGGGAGTCAGGAAGACCTGGGTTCAAATCCTGCCTTAAACACATAGCAGTTGTATAATCTTGGACAAGCTATTTAACCTCTGATCTGTGGTTTCCTCATCTGTGAAATGGGGGCGATAATAATACTACTCGTTTCCCAGGGCTGTCGTGAGGATTAAATGAGGCTGCTGTCACTGAGTCCTTTCTACCATTCGGGGTTTTCTTGGCAAAGATACTCCAGTGGTTTGTCATTTCCTTCTCCGGCTCATTTGACAGATGAGGAAACTGAGGCAAACAGACTTGCCCAGGGTCACGCAGCTAGTGAGTGTCTAAGGCAGGATTCGGACTCACTCTAGGCCAGATGTTCTGTGCACTATGGCACTACCGAGCCACCCTATTAAATGAGGTAACGTGTAAAATGCTTTGGAAACCTCAGAGCCTTATAAATGGGAGCTATTATGAGGTTGGGTAAGTTTTATTACCCCCATTTCACAGAAGAGAAAGTCGAGAGCTAAAAAGAAACCGTTGTTTCTCTTACCTTACCTAAGATCGCATTAGTAGAAGAGGTTGTATTTAAACCCAATTCTTTTCATTAATATATACTGCCTCCCCATTAGAAGCACAACATCTGAATGTGGGTGGGGGTCCCGTGTGCAATGGGAGGTAGGTAGGACATACGACTTGCTCTCTCAGGAACGGAGACCATATTTGTGGTCTTGGAAAACTCATCAAGCAGTTTAGTGGGGAAGGTATTGGTTCTGGAGTAAATTAGTTAACTAGCATTTATTAAACACCTACTGTGTGCCAGGTACTGTGCTAAGTGTTGGGGGCACAAAGAGAGGCAAAAACTGGTCCCTGTTCTCAAGAAGCTCATGGTCTAAGGGGGGAAACAACATGTAGCCATGTGCAAACAAGAAATAGAAATGGGATAAAAAATGGGGTCCTAGGAGAACCTGGGTCCAAATCCTGACTGGAATACATCCTCGTCATATGGCCCTGAGTCTCTTAGCCTCTGATGTCTTTTCCAGCTCTAGAACTAGGGTCCCAAGTGCCTCTACCTCCCTGGGCCTCAGTTTCCTCCTCTGTAAACCAAAGGGATTGGATGAGATGACCTCTAAGTTCTCTTCAAGCTCTAGAGCTAAGACCCCACAAACAAGGTGGGACAGAGACATTTCCACCTCATTCTGCCCTTCTTGGCTCCAACAGATCCCGTTTAGAGACAAGTACAGTGAAAACACACATCTCCCAAAGCCGGCCCAGCTACTTCCAGTCCCCTTACATATCCGCAGCCGATGACTGGAACCCAGCAGGATATTCCTGCTTCCATAACACATTCTATCCCGCTTTGAAAGTCGAAATATAATTGAAAAGGCTAGGCTCTTAATGACACTCAGCACACCTTCCTCATCTAACCACTCACATGATGACTACTAATTAGTCCCTCAACACACAACCGAGAAAGAAGGTGAAGATGTTATCTGAGCACTCCCGAAGTCAATGTCCAGGTCTGCCTTGATTAAGAGAAACATAACACCATGTTTGCAACCACGCTGGGGAAGGTGGCCCTGGGAACTAATTACAAAATGTGAGTTCACGCAGAATTCCTGCAAAACCCTCTGGCTTCCATCTACCAGGAGAGAGGCAGACCTTGGCTGAGTCAGTCACGCTAAGGATTCAGAAATGACTTCTTTGTGCTAGCAATCAGTGCTCCCGGATTTTTCTCTCTCTAAGCTGCATGAATGTCTAACTCATCACGATTCTTGAAGGCAAGAAGGAAGACTCCCAGACACTGTGGCTCATGAAGTCATTTCGATTATTCAGAACATGAGCATCTCTCGTCCAAAAGAAGCACAAACAGAATCGAGACCGCCGGACTGGGCACCTTCAGAACCCAGTCATCGCGACAAAACCCATCACCAGATTCGAGGCAAGGAGTGAGTCACAAAAGCACTCAGTACTAATATGTCTTTCGGGCCAGCAGAATCAGTCACTGTTAATTTGAGTTAAATTGATAGGGCCCCGGGAAATGTCCATTCATTAGTATTTTAAATAGAGAGCCTGCAGTGTGCCCTGAAAGAATCAAAAACGGATTAGGAAGTCTTTCACTCCACTAAATGCCATGTTGTTTGGAATCAAATCTGACCTCATCTACAAAACGGAAGCCAACTGCTGGATCCTGTTTTACGCAAATACTCGCAGACTCATTCTGCATGGAAGTTGGTGAAAGAGAAGTAGGTATGGGGAAGAGAAGAGGGGAAGATGGGTCGCAGAATTTTCAGGCTATTTTAAAAATGCCTATTTGAATTAGTGTGAAGTAATTTCTTCCCCCGCATCCATAGATGCCGCTGCTGTCTTTTTTCCTGGACGGGAACATGTGGCTAGAAGGGCGAAAGTTCACGTGTGGACACCAGCCTGAATAACTGCAGCTCTCCCCATGGGCTGGCTGTGACTTTGTCTCACTACCTTATTAGCAGGAAAACAGGGCCCCGAGGATTTATTGATGGAGCGGGGTGGGTCTATATGAACTAGATGAAGCTGATGCTACGATTCCATTGTGAGCCAGACTGAAGTTCTCAGCTCTCTTCCTGGTGATGGGAATGGGTTGCATGGAATCAGTCATATGGTGGAGGGTGTCAATCCCCGCCCCCATTGACAACTGGTACAATCATGACATCATGGATTACAAGATCAGAGAGCTAGAAAGGCCCTCATCAGAGGCCAGCTGGGACAACCTTCTCTTTTTCCAGATGAGGAAACATTCCAACAGAGGTAACAATTGTGGTCTAACAGCAAAGACAATGTGCAGCTGTGTACAAACAAGATATAGAATTAAACAAGAGTAGCTTGTTTCTATGTGACAGGGGAAGGATTTGACTCTGACTCCAGAATCAGTAGGGTTTTTTGTTGTTGTATCATCAGATACTTAAAAAAAAATAAGTTGACTCTTTCATAAACTATGCTGTTCTTAAGCCTTTGCCCAACTATCTTCAACCACTGGCTCCATATGTTATTGGAGAGACGTTAGTCCTCCCACTCCTCTATCTTTCAACAGAAAATAACATGCTTGGTGGCATTCTTCCCCATTTCTTAACTTTGTGCTTATGAAGTGGTTAATATGCATTGTCTCATTTGATATTCACAACCTCGAGTGATGATGATAAATATATTTCACAGGGAAGGAAACTGAGGCTCAGAGAGAAGCAGCATCCTTCCCTACCTCCCACCTGCCTCCAAAGTCACCCAAGGGCAAGGACTCAGATCTAAGTCTGGTCCTCTTCCATCCAAATACCCCGACCCACACCCACACTCACCCCCCACCCTTGCTGCACTGCTGTAAAGACATGACCAGGTTTCCCTTTAAATATTTTTGGGTGGGTGGGGTGTTGGCATCGGCAGGTCTCTGTAAGTGGCATCAACGAGGTGGAGGAGGCCATCATTATTCTGATGGAATGTCCACATGATTTAATATTCCAAAAGAATTATGCCACCATGAGTGTCTGATAAACCCCCTTAGAATCAAGGGACTTGAGCTCTCTTTCTTGTAGGCAGCCACCTTCCATGGGAAAACTGTCAAGTCCGCTGAGGTGCTAGGGTCGGGCCACACGGCACAAATGTGGGTCGTTGCACAAGACAGTCAAACTTCGTCTTTTGGCAGTTTTCCAGCCTCTATGAGTCACTTTTCAGAGGTTAAGAGACACATTTGTAAAAAATACAATCAAAAGAAAACTGGTGTTCCGAGCATTCCAAAAAGAATATTTTATTAAGCTTAGTTCCTGGGATGAAGGCATTTTTAAAATAACCATGATGACCTTCAAAAAAAAACAAGCCCTGGGGACTGTGGGAGCTCTCCGCTGGCGAAGAAATGAACCTCAAGATTCATGTGAACAGCAATAGCTCTAAGAATGAAGGGAAGACAGGGGCCCACTTTATGCATGACTGTAAGATGCCTGGAAATTTATTGTTTGCATAAAAAGCAAATTGTCCTCCTGGTTTTGGAATCTGGCTGGGAGAAATACTCCAATGCAATCACATTGCAATTACCCTGGTGCAAAGAGGCTTTCATTCTAATCCATCCATGGATTAGCTCTTTAGGAAGTGGCGTGGAAACAGAAAGACACAGAATGCAAAGTAGATTTTGACTGAAGACCAATCCCATTTCACAAGGGGCTGGCACAGAGTCAGAAAAGTAAAGAGCTAACCGTGAAGCAGTAAAACCACTTCCATTCTTGGCAAATTGGACGGTTTTTGGGAACTACTCTTCTAAAAGACCAGCAATCTGAACTCCAGGAGGGCAAATGCCCAATGCGTGCAATGAGTCTGGATACTGAGAGGGGCATCACCACTCAGGGTGACCTGGCCCACGCCAGCTCATCCCTTAACACCAGGTGGGCACCAGACATGATAATCATGGTCACTGCCCTTTGAGTCAAAGTCCACCTATGGTATTCAGATCTGCTGGTCATTTCTCTGCTTAGATCTAAAAGAGGCAAAACCATGAGTCCTAGAATGAAACCCAAGGCCTGAATTCCATGCTCTTGAAGGGTTAGGGCTCTGCCTTTCCTTTTCAAATGCAGGGCTTCTCCCAAGAATTCTGATTTTTTAATATTCTCTGCATGAAAATTCACTTGAGTTCTTTGTCCTTGTGATCACACAGTTAATTAGGACTAGTCAGTTCTGGGGCCATTATGGTCCCAGCTTCCATCTCCCAACTAAGTCTGAGTCTCAACAACCAGAGATGTCCTTAGATCTGTTCTTCCTCTGGAATCTTGTGTCCTTGGGATCAAAACCTCGCTCACTGGCCCCAAAGACTGCCCAATGGGGAGTCTTGGCCACATAATCCTTGGCGCTGAAGGTCTTTGACCCATGGCTGGTCTCATATTCTTGGATGAGGTCCTGGAATCGGTCATAATCAATCCAAGTCCACCATTCCCCATCAATCTTGAACTGTAAAGAAAAAGCAGAGTTGTTATATTAGTGGTTAAGGGTGATTACAACAGCATAAAACACAAGTCATAGAGAGTGAAGCAGAAATGTTTTTCTTAAAGAAATTCCTAAAGCAGATCACCAAGCAACAGCCTGATCTTTTCTCTAAAACATGTCTTATGAAGGTTAAAAAAAAAAATCCCTCTATGCTCTAAGGACTAGCTCAGTCTCACAGCAGATTGCATTATAGTCAAAGGAGAGGGGGAGAGAGGAAGGGAGGGGGAGAAGAGAGGGAGGAAGGGAGAGGGAGGAGGAAAGGGAGGGAGGGGGAAAATGAGAGAGGAGAGGGAGAGAGGGGGAGGGGGGAGAGGGAGAAGAAAGGGAGAGGGAAGATGGGGAGAGGGTAAGGCGGGAGAGGAGAGTGAGAAAAAGAGAGAGGGGAGAGGGAGAGACAGATTTATAGATAGATTCTATAGATGGATATATATATATATATATATATATATATATATATATAAAAATGGATAGATGGATAGATACATCTACAGACATACAGATATATAGATATTCCAATAAGATCCTCAGAATGTGAAGGGGCCAGAGAGGCAATTCATCTAGAAAAAAACAACAACTCCCTCTTCAACATATGTGGCATGTACCATCTCACAAAGTCCCAAAAAGACCCATGAAATCAAATTTACCTCCTTGCATTAATATCTACAATTCACCTTTAAAAATTGCCCATATCAGAGTGTTTGTGTATAAATATTTAAAGTCATGAGATGGGAGAAGGAGTGCTGTGTTTGAGGAACAGAGGAAAAAGCCAGTTTGGCTGGACCATAGAGGGGGGTGGGGGGCCGGTGAGCAATGCTAGGAAGGGGCCAGACAGGGAAGCATTTTCAATGCCAAGTAGTATCACGCATACGTGGTTCTCGAGGTGGCAGAGAGCCACTGGAGCTCCCTGCCATGGTCTGATATGTGTCTGGGCAAATTACCCGGGCAGTTGGTGGAGGGTGGAAGGGAGACGAAGCAAGAGGCTTTTTCCAGGGGTCGGGGAGGATGGGCAGGAGAACCTGAGTGAGGACGGGGCCAACGGGAAGGGGCCAGATGCCCGGATGTGGTGGAGGCAGAAGCCACAAGATCCAGAAAGGACGCAGACGTGTAAGATGAGTGACAGTGCGGGGGGGCGGGGGGAGGAGATAACGAGTTCTGTTTCGGATATGCTGAGTTTAAATTTTCCAGTGGCAGTTGGTGATATGGGATTGGAAACGAGGAAAGAGATGAGGGCTAATTCCTAAGTCCCTTGGAGCCATCTGCACAGGGACAATAATGAACCCAACGGGAGCTGAAGAAGTCAAGGAGAGAGCCAGCAGAGAAAGAAGAGAATGGGGCCTGAGAAAGAGGCTGGGGAACACCCACCATCAGTGGGCTGGGTGTGGATGCTGACTTGACAAAAGAGACGGAGATTGAGCAATCCGAAAGGCAGGAGGAGAGCAGAGCCATGAAAACCCAGAGAGGAGAGAGGATCCAGAAAAGAGTCACCAGCAGCAGATGCTCAGGAGAGGCCAAGAAGGGGAAAGACTGGGAAAAGGCTGTTGTGATTATGAGGTCACTGGTAACTCTGTAAGGAGTAGTGTCAGGCAAGTGATGAGACCAGCAGATAAACTGCAAAGGGTTGAAATCAGCTAAAACCCCTGGGTCAAAAATGTCTATGTTCTGAGTGAGTCCCCAGGCTCAAGTCTCCCCCTACCCTCATGCAGGCTCCACTTAGCTGCCAAAGTGACCTTTCTTGGGGCAGCTAGGTGGTGCAGTGGATACAGCACCGGCCTTGAAGTCAGGAGGACCTGAGTTCAGATCTGGCCTCAGACCAAACACTTGACACTTACTAGCTGTATGACCCTGGGCAAGTCACTTAACCCCAATTGCCTAAAACAACAACAAAAATAAAAAATAGAAAAGTGACCTTCCTAAAGCACAGGGCTGACTGGGCACCCACCCACCCAAGGGGCTCCCTACCACCTCCAACAGCAAACAGGAAACCCTTCCCTGCCTGCCCTTCCTACCTCTTCAATCTTCTTCCCCTTAACTTCCCTCCACACACTCCACATACCTGCATGGTGTCTCCCCCATCAGAAGGGGAGCCCCTTAAGGGCAGGAACCCCTCTTTTTGCCTTTCATTGTATCCTCTTAGCTTAGGCCGGTGCCTGGGACATGGGAAGCTCTTAATACATGACTGACTGCCTGACACCACCTCATACCATTACTACGAAGCTTGGGTAAGTCCTATGATTCAGCCTGGAAGGAAAGTCATTTGATTTGTGCCCTTTCATCAATAAGACGCATACACAACAACCTTGGGAGGCAGTATATATAAGCACTAATAACCACATTATTTTAGACAAGGATCCTGAGGCTCAGAGCAATTCAGCAACTTGCCCAGGGTCACAGCCAGTAAATATGAGAATGAGGACTGGAAGTTCAGTCTTCTGAGCCTCCAAGCTCCACCCTCTCCACTGGCACACCAGAGCACCCAAAGTCCAGCCTTTTCCTCCCGTGTGTGTCGGAGGGGAAATGGTGGAGGTCAGTTCAACATAGTGACCAGGAGGCTCAGCAAGGTGCCTATGACTACTCCACTAACGGCAGTTAGAGCCAGGACCTGACTTCTCTGACGTAAATAATCGCATCTTACATGTTCTAGCTAAGAAAAACATAACGTCTGTACACACATTCTTGGCTGCTTAAAAAAATGAAGAAGCCTACACGGCAAAATCTGACTTTGTGCTGAATGGCAAAAAAAGCTTTGTGGGTTAAAGATGCACAGTTTTAATTATTCTACCCAGATGAGCATCCTCCTCAGAAGGTAGTGCTTTGGAATGGTGGTGCAAATGTCCTGTGTTAGAGGGAAAACAGAACACAAGGAATTAAGAAGAAGCCACTAATCTCCTAGATTATTTTTATTATTTCTGCTGCTGCTGCTTCCTCTTCCTCCTTTTCCTCCTCTTCATCATCATCATTATCGTCATCAAATAAGGTATAAATCTATTATTTTACTGATACTCCCAAATTACAAAATTCTCTCTGCCAATGCAAAGGGGAGGGGAAAGGAGGAGAGAAAAGAGGGGAGAAGGGAGAGAGGAGAGAGGGGAGAGAGGAAAGAAGGGAGAGGCGGGAGAGGGGAGAAGGGAGAGGGGAGAAGGAAGAGGGGAGAAGGGAGAGGGGAGAAGGGAGAGGGGAGAAGGGAGAAGGGGGAGAGGAGAGGAATTTCACATTTTTTCTTCACATTTTTCTAATAACATGTAACCTATTCTCTTGTATATGTATAATACACGAGTTTATAATACCTAACCTCTCTCCTAGACGGTAAGTTCCACGAAGACAGGAACCATATCTTATTTTAGCTTCTACGTATTTCCCAGAACCTTGCTCAGTGCTTGGGGACGGCAAAGAGCCTACTCTTACTGGGGTAGAGGCTCTTATAATCAGAAATAAGGCTGCTCAAAATAAGTAGCAATCACACAAACAATAGTGTACATCACACGTATGAATAAGATCCCTATGGTTGACTGTAGAGGAAATAGAAGATGGTGAATGAAGGACTCTGCATTAAGGCTAACTTTGTGAAATCACAGAAACATGCCACGAAAAAATGTCATAAAGCTTTGGCCAAGTAGCAACATGTTCAAGGTGTGTGTGTGTGTGTGTGTGTGTGTGTGTGTGTGTGTGTGTGTGTGTGTCTAGATCTGCAGACATGCACATGTGTGGCTGGGATATTTGCTCCTCCTCCATTTTGATAACTGAGGAAGTGATGTGTGTTGGCCCAAAAGGATCCACATGGTGATGGGAAGCTCTGGGAGCTGGGCAAGACTGAAGAAGGCAAAGAAGAAGGGCCTGAGAGGGACAGAGGAGTGTCAACCAGAGAGAAGAGAAGAGCTCAGTCCACTTTATGCCTTCCTGTGGCACTGGGGAGAAGTTCCCAAAAGAATGAGACTCTTCAGACGGTGGCCTCAGCATGAGAAATAGGGATTTGGGGTGGCGGTGCTACAGGAGGGGAAGGGAGCACAGGAGAAGAGTGTAGGCAGGGCAGAGATGGGAAGAGAGGAAGAAAGGAAAAGGAAGAGAGTATTCCCTTCCCCCACACACACATTTAAGGGGACAGGAGGGCAAACTATCAGGGGACAGCTATCACCAGGGAAGGCGTCATACTCGGGCTTGAGACTCTTGGGGTTTACTGTATATACAGGACTGACAGCTGCTCATTCTAGGATTCCTATTTCATCTTCCCCCTTTTAAAAAAATTTTATACTACTATGTATGGCCCACAGACATGTAAGGTTGGTCCCCTCTTCTAGTGGGCGGGTACATATTTTCCCAGGTTTTGGGGGCTGGGACTATTAGCCAAAAGAATGAGAAAAAAATCCCCCCCAAATGCTGCTGGGCCTTTTCTGTCGCAGGACAGGCTCTGACACAAGTGTTCCATCCACATACTTACACACCCAGAGCAAACAGCAACACAATTACGCTCACAATCATCAGTTATAAGATCTGGAAGCAAACCGCCGATGCCTACAAAATATCATAACTGCAACATTTATAAGAAAATGGAACAAGTGTTTTGGCAAAAATAAGCAAATACTAGGAATAACAAGATCAAGGAGAGAGGGTGAAGGAACTGCATCCTCCTTCCTCCCTGTGGCATTTCTTAGCTAAATCAGAGAAAGACAAATGAAAGAATATCTCTGCCCAGAAGTAGAAACAACACGCACGTACTGTTCGTTTTCTGAGCGTTTTGTTTTCTGCTTGATTATGTGCTGGCTGCCAGGGAAGCTAAGGTTGTGGTTCTCTGGCAAAAACGTCCTGGAGCCCTAGGGAAGCATGGGACCCTTGGGCTCTGGAGAGCAGGCTGAGAAAACCCCAACTAGAGAGTCTTTGTGGAGATGGACAAGGGAGAGAAGGAAGGCCCAGTACAGGACTGGAGAAAGAGTGACCAGAGAGACAATCACGCCCAAGAGTCAAGAGGAGGA